TACAGGGCCTACTATCCCCAGTGTCTTAGTTTCTCTGTTCTCACTGGTACCACACATGCAAGACAAGCAAGTTAAAGGAAGTTGGTTTATTTTGGCTTACACTTTTAATGCATGGTTGGCTGGCTGCAAGACAGCAACTGCATGGCAGAAGTATATGGCAGAGGAAAGCACATTCAACTTGTGACAGTCAAGAAGCAGAGAAAAAAAGAAGCATCCAAGTTTAAGTATCCAGGAGATCATGCTCCTGTGACACCCATACGATAAGGCCTCACCTCCTAACAGCACATTTAGCTTCTGAACACACACAAAGTTTAATCCACCATAGAGTATAGCAACCCCATGATAGAATAAGTCTATAAAAGCCCAGCTCTGAACACATGAACAATTGGGGGGACACTCTAGATTTAACATTAAACCCAGAAAACAGCCCTTCTCTACAGAAAATAAAACATCAAAGGCAGATGTATGAGATGAGGAAGCTGGAAAAAATTAGAGCTCTATAAGCTATAGATTTTAGGAGCTAAAAGATGTGAATTCTTTAGCTCTAATGTAGACTTAATAGTACAAAGCTGATTTGCATGTGCACGGAGTACAGCCCATGCCCTGAGGACTTCTTCATAGGCTGTCACACCCTGTGCAGGAGTCAGTCCAAGTAAGGACACAGGATGAACATGGGGGCCCATGCTCAGCTCCTGGGGCTCCTGCTGCTCTGGATCCAAGGTAAGGAAGGGAAGCACTGGGTATTTGCTCAGCCCAGTGTTCTCAGTGCTGCTCTTCTTGTAATGTGATTTATGATGTGGATATTTGTTTTTGTGTTTCCAATGTTAGGTGCCAGAGGTGACATCCAGGTGACCCAGTCTCCAACATCCCTTTCTGCAGCTGTAGGAGACACAGTCACCATCACTTGCAGGGCCAGTGAGGACATTAGCTATGCTTTAAACTGGTATCAACAGAAATCAGGAAAAGCCCCTAAACTGATGATCAAAGCAGCAGATGAATTAGCACCTGGGGTCCCTCCAAGATTCAGTGGCAGTAGATCCGGGACAGATTTCACTCTCACCATCAGCAGCCTGGAGCCTGAAGATGTTGCCACTTATTACTGTCTACAGGCCTATAGTACCCCTCCCACAGTGATACAAGCCATGACATAAACCACCTAAGGAAGCAGAAGTGTGAGCCTGGGCTAGCCTAGCTGCTCTTCCTGCTACTGCCACCAGGTGAGGGGACTTTTCAAATATAAGCATGATTTGCTTGTCACTGAAAGGTCTTTGTAGAAGGAGGCAAAAGTGAAAACAGAGAAAATGCCTCTAGGATATTTCAGCTTAGGTGAAGGAGCTGGAGTGTGTGAATCTGTTCCTGTAATCATCCATTTTATCTCTCCCAGGCACTCATGATAGAGTCTGCAGTCTGTCCTCTCTATACAACAAGTTGTCTACCCAACTTCAGAGAGCACAGTAAAGGAGATATAAGGCTGGCAGCATCACCAGAAGCACAGTGAAGCTGAAAGACTAAGGGAACCAATAGTGCCTGGTGCCTCCACCCAGGTGGAAGATGTGCACTCTTGATGTGGAGCTCTCAGCCTCATACTGACAGGTCAATGGGGAGCAAGTTCACTTAAAGTTCAAACCCCAGGATAAGCTCCAGGATGTTTGTGCACTAGCTTTATAGATGTGGCCCCTGACCACTAAAGGATGGAGTAAGAGGGAGGAAAAAGAGGAAAAAAGAGAGCAGGTGAGGAATACTGATCATGTGGCATGTGTATGCACAGAAATAGTGGCTACTTTACTGGTTTACCAGACTAAGTATAATGTCCCCACTCTCAGGCCCATAGAAATTGTAAATGTATTTTATGTGAGAAATATTCCTTTACAGATTTAAATTAAACATATTTAGATGATGAGATTATCCTGGATTCAAAATTTGTATTGTATGTGTAATTCTAAGTGTTTTATATGAGACTGACAGGGGAAGATTTAGCACACATGGAAGAGAAAACCTGGAAATGACAGAGAAGGCACTGGTGGGATTGGCCACAGCCAAGGAGAGCCACAGTCCCCAGGACTTGGGAGAGGCAAGGAGCAAAATCTCTCCAATAACCTCTGCCTGGGTCCCCGCACCAGTAAGCACCAAAATATTGGTTTACTGAAGCTCATTTCACACATTGACCCCTAGATCTGAGAGGATTGGCTAACACTTATGAAAAAAAAAAAACTCGCCAGTATTTTGCTATCACCGCCTTTGGAAAATAGCACAAATGGGACTGAGGGAAAATCAAGACTAAGGTTGCAATGTTTGCAATCTACCTACTCAGTTTCCTAATATTAAATGGAAATGAATTGTAAGTTTTGTAAGGACAAAGAAATCATCTTTTTGATTCTTATGTATATACTGAAGAATCTTTTCATAATAAACTAGAAACTCTATAACACGAAATTTATAGTGAGTCACATGACTGTTGTACAATAAATGTTCCTGGTTTAATTTTAAATTCACATCTGCTAAACAGTATATTACAAAATCACTTCATTTAACCTACCAAAAGATATATTATAAAGGAACTGACTATTCTCTAAAAATATACATTTTATGATGAATCATAGATTAGACCCCCCAGGTAAAACTTTGGTGAATTTAGTACTGCACATAGGAAAGAACTGAGAATCAGAGCTCACCATGATTATGACAAAATCAAATGGTCAGGGAGTACTGGGACTAAGATTTGAACCCAGATCTGTCTGCCCTTAAATATACTCTTTCCATGCAGCCACTCTATTTCAGAGATGAATGCAACCCCTACAAAATAGGAGAAACACACCAGAATAATAATATAAAATTCATAGCTACCTTCTGCATCTGTCCATACCATGCTGATCATAATCTCAAACCTAGTCCTTTCTGTGGGTTTAGTTTTTTTGTTTGAGCTTTGTTTTGTTTTTATAAAAATCAACTCTTTCTGATCCTTCATGTGTTCTGACTATTCAAATTGAGATTAAAGAGTACATCTTATATGACCCTGATCCCTCCCTCATTCCTCTTTTTATCCTTACACTCTGACTCAGTATTTCCTACTCATATTATATAATGTACATCTAATTTGTCTGTCTAATTCACAGATATCAAACAAAAAACTCCCTCTCTACCCAGCTTCTGTGTCATCACACACTGAAACATTCAATATCAAGATTAACAAGAGAAAATATTTTAGCAAGACATTTTCTGCCTAAGGACAATTCTGGGGACTAGCTTCTTTATTATAAATCATTCCATGTCTCTCTCAAAATGGACAAAAAATAAATACAAGATGGAGATGTTAGATATCAGAGGACAGCAAACTACTCCCAGAGGTATCTCTCTCTACCTAGGATTCTCCAGCCCTGGATTTCATGAGTTGGTGCTTTCCTCCATATACTGGTATAATTAATTGTCTTTTGGGGCTTTCAATTTCTTCCATGTAGTTATGTGGGGGGGGGAATCAATAGTTTATTAAATTTTGATTGATTGTCTTCGACTTCTGTTAAAGGTGTTAATTTCATGTTGCAGTTTAGAAGGAAGAAACAGGTTTTTCCTTATGTTATCAAGTCATAGACCACCAGTCAGCCATACATGCTAAGGGACCATGGGAAATATTAGCAAATAAAAGAAAAGGGATACAATACCTCCTTTTCAAACCAAGAATTCTGTACAGCCAATTTGATTCCTGGATATGAAAGAGTCCTGTAGCTTTGGAGAATATTGGATCTGAGAGTGACACAATCACTGGGAATCATCCCATTATGGTCACAAATCTCCAGTACATTATTTGGTGTTACTCTGACAATGGCAGTGGTTTAGTGCCCATACAAAATGAAACTGAATATGTTTAATATACACTGATAAATTTCCTATTTATTTAAAACATGGAAAATAAATCAGATTCATACAAAGGTTGTATATCTATAACATGAAATCCACCTCCCACACATACACATACAGACATTGAGAATGGGTTCAAAATCTGATAGACCTAACCTCTAAAATGTACTGTGTGCTCTGCACAAATAAGTATATTCTCTTACATCATCACAATAAAACTGCTAAATAGATGACACATCTAGATTTAAGTAAAATTCCAATATTAATAATATTCACTGTTTTTAACTCACTGAACCCAATTAGAAACTAAATCTCTGTGGGCAAAACTATATTGCTCTGATCTGACCTGGGACAAGTGCTCAGCCCTGCACTCCCCTACTAATTTGTACATGCCCACAGCACAGCCTACTGCCCTGAAGACTTCTTAATAGCCTGCTCACAGGTGTGCAGAAGTCAGTCCCCACCAGGACACAGCATGGACATGAAGCCCCATGCTAAGCTTGTGGGGCTCCTGCTGCTCTGATTCTCAGGTAAGGAAGGGCAGCACTGGGGATTTGCTTAGCCCAGTGTTACCAGAGCTGGACTTCAGGGAAGTCCTCTTGTAATGTTATGTGGACATTAGTTTTTTGTGTTTTTATTCTCAGGTGCTAGATATGACATACAGTTAACCCAGTCTCCAACCTCCCTTTCTGCAGCTGTAGGAGACACAGTCACTATCACATGCAGGGCCAGTGAAGATATTAGCATTGGTTTAAACTGGTATCAACAGAAACCAGAAAAAGCTCCTAAACTCTTTATCTATGCTGTAGACAATTTGGAAACTGGGGTCCCATCAGGATTCCATGGCAGTGGATCTGGGACAGATTTCACTCTCACCATCAGCAGCCTGCAGTGCGAAGATGTTGCAACTTATTACTGTCTACAGTACTATGAAGATCCTCCCACAGTGATACAAGCCATAACATAAACCACCCAGGGAATCAGAAGTGTGAGGCTGGGCTGCCCCAGCTGTTCCTCCTGGTGCCTCCACCTGCTGCTGACAAATATTGATATTGTCCTGCATGTATGCAGAAAGAGTTTATACTTTACTAGTTTAATAGACTGAGTATGGTTTCCATGGTATCAGGTTCGCAGAGACTGAGTGTATCATATATGGGAAAAGTGTGTTTGCAGGTAAAATTAAAGGCTAATTAAATCGCATGATTATCTTGGGTTAAACAAATTGGGTCCTGAATTTAATCCTAAATGTTTCTGTATGGAAGCGGTAGCACAGACAAGAAGTCCTAGAGACAGTTGTTCTTAGGAGATCTGCAGTTCCAACAGTTTGTGATTACTCTAATCCATGATAGTAAAAGTAAAAGAAGAAACAGGTTTTCTTTTTTTAAGTTACAAAATCTGACACCACCAATCAGTCCTGCATGCTATGAACCATGGAAAATAGTGGCAAATAGGAGGAAAAAAACTATAAATAGGGGTCCCGACACCAAGAGTAATACCCAGTTCACTGGGTCACTGGATATGAAAGAGATGCACAGCTTGACATAATGGTGGATTTTTCAGTGAAACACTTACTGGGGAAACATAATATTATCACTGAGTATCAGCAATAAATTGCTGGTAAATTATTAAATGGGAATAACTTAGGGCAATTACAAAATGATTTTGGATCTGTTCAACGTATCCCTGGTAAATGTGCAATTTATGTGAAAACATGAAAAAATATTACACAGATATTGTAGCTACAATCACACACACACACACACACACACACTTACTAGAAATATCTCAGAATAAGGCTGAAGATCTGATAGTGACCTCCTGTAAAATATACTGTATCCTCTTTAAAATAATTATTTTTCTATTGCATAATCCTAATACAAATGCTAAATAGATTATACATCTAGACCTAATTCCTACTCTGGTATTGAAAATTGTTCCTAAAATACCTTTCATAACTGAGTGGACCCAGTAGAAAACTCATTCTCTGCAGGAGAATCTTTGTCACCATGGTCAGCCCTGGGACAGCTGTGGACCCTGGGCACTGCAGCTGTGTCCAGTCCTGCCCAGCCCCTGCTGATTTGCATGTGCCACTCCCCCAAGTTCTTCTCCATAGGCTGTTCACACTGTGAGCAGCAGCCAGTCCCAGTCAGGACAGATGAACATGACGTCTGTGCTTAGATCCTGAGGCTCCTGCTGCTCTGGATCCCAGGTAAGGAGGACAGCACTGGGGATTAGTTAAGGCTAATGTGGTCACTGCAGCTCTTCAGAGAAGTCCTCTTGCAGTGTGATTAATTATGTG